TTTGTGAACTTTGCTGAGTCGATGAATCCATTACGAATAAAACGCAAAAAAAAATTGATTTTCGTTAGCAAAATTTGATAATTCCTAAATTTGCTGTTTCTTCTGCTTGTAAACGTAGTACGAATGTCTGTATGCATTTTTAAGTACAAACATACTGTATGTGTTTTTTTTTTTAAAGCATACTAAAATTTAATTAAAGGATATACTGTAGCTATTTTTTTTAGAACATCCATTACATTTTAAAAAATTACATCGATATAATTAATGTATACTGTAGATTTAGTAATAAGTATGGTAATGTAAAAAACACGTAAGTACTGTATTTCTAATCTTATTTCTTGAAAATATATCATAGTTCTAATACAAAAGTGAATTTATTTACGTAGTTTCAAAATCTCATTTGAAAATAAACGGTTGTTAAAGATAGATATTCAAATATAGAAATAAATTTGTAAGTATAAGTTATACGTACAGTATTTTGAAAAATTAAAAATATGGTTTTTTTTAAAAAAAGATTTTTCTTATTAATTATAATAACTTTTTTAAATATGCTATTTAAAGTTTATATATTTTATTATATACTTTTATATACTATTTATTTTATATAATAATAATATTTAAATTAATCTTTTTTTTTATTATAAAAACTTAAATTTATATCTTGTTTTTAAATACACTTTTTTGTTTTTTTAAATATTCAATATATAAATTTATTATTTAATTTATTATTATATATTTAAACTTTTATATCTAATTTTTATTTTTAAAGATTGTTTGGCTATTCTTGATTTGAGATTGTATATTTTATTTTTTATTATTATTAATGTTATTATTAAAATAACAAAAAAATTAAAAAATTTTACAATATAAACAAAATAAATATAACATTTTTAAAAAATTTTAATTATAATTTATAATATATTAAAGTATTGATTAATAATAATTATTAATATAAAAATTTTTTAAAAATACAATTTTGTTTTAGAAATATTGTTCTTTTTAAATAAGTAAATAATATTTGAAATAAAATAATATTTTAAAAATTAATTTATTACTTTCATAACAATCTTGATATACATGCCTTTTTATATTTTAATACAAAATCTATTATAATTTTAAAAATATTACTTTAATTATAAAATATTTTAAATTTTAAATAAACAATTCTTTATATAATCTTTTAAAAGTTAACACTAAAATTGTTTTCTTTATTTTATAATTATAAAAAAAGAAGTTGCTTTTTTATTCTTTTGAAAATATAAAAACATTATATTTTGATAAACAATCTTATAGGCATTAATTGATTTTTGTTATTTTAATGAATAGCATTAGAGTTTTAGTAATATGTTAGAAATATTTTGCTATTTTCAATGTTTTTTCATAAAATGATAATAAACCCATAATCGAAAGTAGTTTTTTGATACTTATTATTGTGATTTTATATATTATTTTAAATAAAATACTAGATGCATGTGAGTATCAACATCAAAAATTTTGAACTGAAAAAATATTATCAATAAAAGATATAAATCAACTGTTAAAAAATTTTATTTAGATAGTAATGAATATTATTCTTTAATATAATCTAGGATTTGAATTACATGTGATAAAATTGAATTCAATTCAAACATTTTCAAAGACTGTATTGTGGTGATGCCATTTAACAATATACAGTAATACTATTTTACCGTTATATAATCTAATTTTATAATCTAATTATTTTTATTATATAATAACGTGCTTCGGTTTCTACTTGAGCGTGAAATATGGCATGAGCTCTGTGCTTTCTTTTATTTACCTTTTCCTATTATTTTGAAGTAGACATTTTGTTGGTATCCAAGTTTTTTCGGCTCAGTGAAAAATATACATTTATTTTCTTATTTTTTCTCCAATAATCATATAAAGACCAATCGTCTACAAAGTCGTTATTGCCATATTTCCAATAACTTTACCGAAGTAGATTCATCTCGAAACGCTTGTTCCAACCCTAATTTATAGTCGTTATAAGCAGATAATTTTCTTCGAAACTTAAGCCTCTTGAAGGCATCAAGCGAGCGAAGACTAAGTTAAGTAGCTTCGCAGGAGTTTGGATTGTCCTTGCGAATTTCTTGTAATAGAGCAAATAGTAAATTAGTAAACGTCACTCGCGACATGTGCGTCAATAATATATAATGATTTATATGGATTAATCTATGTTGCATTTTAACTCTCAATCTCCCTAGCAAAGGTTCGAAGAATTAGCAATATTCTTAATCGATATGTCCCTGGTCGCACTCAATTTCCCATCTCATCTTGTCAGCAAAGAGCCTTGAACACCAACCGAAGAGGTGATATGTACCCTAGCACTGGTTTCGTGGCTGAGCAAAGAGCCTTGAATGACAAGACCGAAGAGATCCCTGCCACGCCACCATTTTCCCCTACATTTCTGACAAAAAAATCTTTTTTACTCGCCGCCATATCTATCAAGGAGACGTCTTGCTCTTTCTTGCTTCCTTACAATTGGCAATAGTCCTTGGTGATTTGATGTAATCATCGATCTTGGCGTCAAATGGGTTTATATTACATTCGTTCAGAAAGTCTATAATACTAGGCTTAGGTTTAAAGTATTCATATATCTTAGACATGACTAGAAACTCGATGTTAACAGGTTAATCAAATTTGGTTTTATAGCATAGCTGATCGAGCATCTATTACTCAAGATCAGTAGTAAGCCACAGTATATGAAATGTTCTTTGGTAAAATGATTGTACAGAGGGGTATTAAAAAATCAAACCTGATTTTTATGGCGAAAAAAACGTGTAACAAAATTTTTATTTTATTCCCCCCAAAAAAATCTACATGTCCTTTTTATCGCTCCTTTTAATGCGATTTGGCGTAAAGTCAATAAACTATAAGTTTTATCACATTTAATGTTATACTATGCCGTAGTAATAGCCTATTCTAACTCGGATTCAGTTTGCAGATTTTGTTGATTCTTGTAAATCCAATTTTTGACTTATTTTTATATATTTTCAATTAAACTAAAATTGGAATTGGGGAGGTCATTCATGACTACAATTTCAAGCTTAGATGTGATTCCTTTTACAAGTTTATATGTGTAAATGGAATTATTATCTTTTGCAATATTAGGTTTTTAGTCATTAAAGCTATTGGATAATAGTATCCAAAAGAAGGTTGTTATACTCTTCAACATTCATCTATGAAATAAGTGATACAATATGTTAGATCTTGATATAAAATTTATCAAAGAAATATTTTTTAAATCTTGTAAAGAAATAATTATTTAAAATAATCATTAATAATCAATTTTCTTTTATAATTTTTTCTTTATAAATAATTAGAATTTTTTTTTTTTTACTGTTAAGTGAGACATTTCTCATGATCTTTATTAATAGAGTAAAGTTGTTACATAATTAATATTGAAATGTTGAGATACATTGCTATACATGTTAGCCTACCACCATATTAGATATATTTTTGATAAAAAACCTTTGAGCAAGGAAAAAGAAAGTAACTATCTAATTTTGGAGAGCTAATGCCTTTTTAATAATTTACTTTGTTTTGGAAAGACATGGACGAGTTTTAAGAAAAAAGTTTAAGTGTTATATTGGTTAGTTTGATTTGTTGAGTTGATTTGTGATTAGGTGTGGGATTGGTAGTTGGTTTTTGTCAATGTTGTGAAGATTTTTTGTTGTTATTTTTGTTATTTTTCCTGTATTTGGTGTTTTGTGAGATGTCGAGGAATTTTTCCTCTTTAATCATGTCTTTGTTTCTTGGGATCCAGATGTGTTGATATATGAGTTCGAGAGTTTCGTTTTAGATTTGGTTTAGGATTTTGAGATCTTGCTGGTTTGGTTTGAGATTGTTAAATAGGTGTTTAGGTTGGAATGTACCTGTTGTGAAGTCGATTAGATGGATTGCAGAGTTAATAGTAGTTGAAATTTAATTGGGATTAAAGTTTTTGTTATTTTTGAATTTTTTGTTAAGAAGTGTTTGTGAGTCAGTAAAAAATTTTTTTAATTGTTGATAGTGCCTATTTGCAAAGCCAGAGATGATGAATAGTTTCTGTATATGAGTTGCAGCAGGGACAGGTGTCATTTGTATAGATATTAGGTAGAGTGATATGAAGGTATGATTTAGTTGGGAATGTATTAGATAGAATTTTGAGGTGGAAGTTATATATTCTAGATTGGTGTTGTATAGTTGGAATTGGTGTGTTTTTAGGAAGATTAAAGTATTGAGGAATAGTGAGAAGTTTGGTTTGAAAGTTTGTTATACTCTTTGTGAAAAAATTATTTTTGTGGATCATATGGTTTTGTTGATTTGTTTAAGGAAGTATCTTATTGATGGAATAGGGATATTGTTTAGGTTTTTGAGTGTATATTGCATTGGTAATGGATTGATTATATTGATTTGTGGAAGTTGAATGTTTAATGATTGTGTTTTTGATATGATGGAAGTGGGTTTATAGAAGGTGTAAGAGATCTGGAGAGTTTGAAGAATATTATGTATATTAGTAATTGTATTGAAGTATAGAACTTTGTATCTTTTCCTGTGATTGGCAGGCAGTAGTGCAAAAATGTTGTTGTTTAACTTCTGGATTAGCAGAATTGGTTGAATTATATATCTTGGTATGGTTCCATTGGATTCCAGTGAAAGGTGAAGTATTGACTATAAAGTAACATGGTTTCCAGATTAGATTATACAATAAGGACAAAGATTTTGTTGCTGCCTTGATCCATTTCATAGAGTTTGTAGTCAAAAAAATTTTGTCTATAACTCCATATGACAACTCAACGACTTGCCATATATGTGAGATCAGTTTATAATTATTGTCTGGATAGAAAGTTTGATTGATAGTTTTAATAATTTGCTTAGCTGCTTGTAATGCTTCTATGCATTTGAAAACATGTTGAATGTCTTTTGTATGAAGTTCACATCGTGGATAGAGAGTATTTGGGTATTGATTAGGATATAACTAGTGAAGTGTAAGGCGGATTGGAAGAGTTCCTAAGACAGTTTAATTCTGAAGACTACTAGGATACTGTATTTGTTATTACAGAGTTTTCTAATATTTTTGTTGGACTGGTTGATGACTTTTAGACTGTATGGGGTGCAATATTCTTTTTATAATATATATATATATATATATATATATTAATTGACTAAGGGCATTAAATACAAGACTTTATTTACTAATTAATAATACTGTCATTATATTAAACATCTTTATAAACTAAACCATTGCTATTTTAGAATATATAGTATAGTACAAAAAATTTTGAAATATTATAAACATACATAACTTTTTCAAAACAAAAGCAATTCACGTGAAATTTTAAATATGTAAACAACATATTCCAAACAATATATATAGG